AAAGTGCTCAGTAGTGTAATCTTTTCAAAATTGTTTTGTGAAGCCTTCCTACGATGTAAATAGCCTGAAATGAATTGTTCATGGTGTCGCTTTTATTGTTCTGGTCTTTACACTCTTAACCTTGATTTTATTGCATTTGCTGTTGATATCATGGCTTTGTTTCTGTGCTTCTTTCCAAGGTGTTTTCAAATTTCAACATAAATAACGATCAGCGGTAGTAACACCATGGATTGTAGTAGCAGTAGCAAGGTTAATGATACTGTAGCATTAGCTGTACTTGTACCAATACAGCAGTAATATAGCAGTACTTGGGTTAACAAAGTACTGCAGGTCATAGTTGGAGTATAACAATATAACTGTCTTAGTAGTAATTTATTATACAATAGTAGTAGTGGAATTCAAAGGAGTAGCATTACCAATGCTCATAGTAAAGAGGTGAGAAGCATAGTAGTATTTTTCTTTTCTTTAATACTTCAAACAGTGTTCTCTACCTTCATCTCTCCATCCCTTTTGTCTTGGGCTGAAAAATGCAGAGTTGAGGTGTGTGGTGGTGGATTCCCCCTGTGAAGCCACGGCCAGGGTAGCAGCTGTCCCTATCAAGACTCTCCTCAGAGCTGTCACGGCCTGTCTGCTCCTTGGCTAATCACTTCCTACAGCCTTGCAGCATGGGACCACCACTGCTAATGTCGTCACTGACTGGGCTGAGAGAAGCTCACAGAATAAGCGTGATGTTGTTTCATGTGGATGTGTGTGTTTGCAAGTGTTGGCTGGAGTGCAGGTTTCTTGAGCTAGCATTTCAAGGGGTGTGCAGATGCCCCAGGTAGTGCAACATGGGTGAACACACTTACACACTAACCATTACCATAACCCCTTTCTTCCCACATGCCAAAACACATTTGCCACACAAGGAGTTACTCATCTGTGTGTAACAGGCTAATGGCACTGTGTGGCACACGCCAGCAAGCATGGTCATAACAAAGTGACCATTTGTAAGGGCACATGCATGTTCAGATGAGGTAAAAGTAAATGTATCCAAAAAATATGATTTTCCTCATCTCCTTGTCTGGCGGGCAAACTAAAACATTTTTTTTCCTCATCACATGGAGGATGTTGTATTGCTGTCTCTGTCAGGCCCTGCAGTGAATACCACTGAACCAACTGTCAACAGAGATGATTAATTATCAGTCACACCAGCCATGCAACAAATTAATAAATACATTTGCCTTCTAGGGTTTCATAGGCCATCCAGAGTAGACACAAACCAAAAAGAAATTGATAGGTTTAGTCAGAGGAGTGTAGAATCCAGGGCAATAGATAACAAGGGAGAACTGGAAGAGATAAAGCAGGTTCAGATTTCTTGGCAAAAAAAATGTAAACAGAAGTTGGCAATGGTATGTCGGTGAACCTGTGAACAGAAACTGAAGGGCTGAGACTCTGTTAGCTCTAAAACTAGTGTTGTAATTCCCCTGTGTAAAATACTTTACCCCAGATGCATCGGCTCCATTATGGAGGCCCCACGGAGAAATGGATGCATGAAAAATAATGAGACAACTGCATAAGATTTGTTGTGGTGGGCAGATTTACTAATGCTACAGCAGACAGTAAAGAAAATCTTCTAAGCAGGTAAGTTTGTTTCCAAATGTAGCTTTCTGTGACACAGTGGGTCTGCTAACCTAACAGCAAGGTTTTGGTCATATTAGCTAGTTAATTGTCCTGAAGGCTACTCTGGTAAAACAACCAGTGTTAGAGTTAACATTAGTGAATATACATATGGTTTCAGTTTCAGTGTTAGAGTTAATAGCAGATGACTAACAAGCGATAATGTTAGCTTCTTGTAGATCATGTTTATTACTTGTCAGCAAATCATGTGTCAGAAAGGCAGATGTACAATGCAGGGCCACAAAATTATGTGGACAGATTAACATCACACCTACATGCGGTTGTTTCACATGCCATTACAAAAATGTGAGCATTACTATGATGCCATTACAGCTTCCACTCTTGTGGGAAGACATTCCCCCAGAATTTGATGCCCCTCTAACCATAGGAGCATCAGTAAGGTTGGCCACCAATGTTGGGATATATATATTTAAAAAACAAACACTGGCAGTGTATAATAATGAGAGACACACACATGAAGAGGAAGACAAAATAGCTCAAATGTAGAATGAGACAAATGAAGATGAAGGTGAATAAACAATAATGAAAATGGACAGGCAGACAGACGGAGATATGAATACGAAGTGAGACAAGAGGTGCAACGGTGCACTGAGGCATGTAAAGGCAATTGGTGCCACCGTGCTGCCATTGCCCCTTGTGATGCACAGAGCAAAATGAGGCTGGGAAGAGGAAGGCAGGGAACTGAGACAAGAGGGAAAAGCTGGGCATACCGACTAGGGTGAAATGAGAGGAAAGTGATATAAAACACAAGGGTGGTGAGGAAAAGGGAGGATGGGGAGAGGATGAGTGCACCAACAATGTGCCAGGCAAATAAATAAGAGCCTCTGTGTAACTCCATTTAATCCACTGGGTGACTGACTGCAGCATATAATAAACTCCCTGCTTGATTTTGTGTGTGTATATGCAAACATACCTGTGTGCATGTGTCTCTTTGTGGGTATCCTTGTGTGTACACCTGCATCTGTCACCTTGCCTCGTTGCCTGCATTTTTGTGAAACACCAGCCTTTTGTGTATTTGTGTGTGTGTGTGTGTTGAACTACATGTAGGTTTTCGTGTCACTGTGTGCTGAGGTATAGGCCCAATATGTCTGCCACTGTGAACTCACAAAGCCAGGAAGCAGTTGTTGTTTGTCAGTAAAAAAGAAGAGGTCTACATAAGCAGCCCCTTGACACACTGCCAGATATTGCATAAGTAAGAGGTGTGTCCCTTTGTATGAAAGTGTGTGTCAGTAGCCCCCACCATCATTTGATTTGGCTTGTTAGTGCTACTTCTGTGGGTTATAAAAGCAAAGAGCCATCCAGTCGTCATAGCTGCTTCATGCGGGTCATTAATACATAGTTCATTTAGTCTGGGCCCAGTCTCGAGAATCATGTTCATGTGTTTATTTTACTCCTGTTTGCTCTGCGACCATGTGATTATTATATGATTTATGGGGCCAACAGTGTTTTTTTTTTGGTTTCCTAAGGCACGGCTCAGTGGTTCTGGTCCCCATCCCAGTTATTACGATGAAATCTTGAAACAAGATGAATAAAGGATATTTTTGTGATGTGAATAATTTTATAGATAAAGCCATAAAATACACCATGAGCTTTCTTGAGTCACATGACATTGGGCATTGAATTAGTGGGCAAAGCCAGTGGTATTAGGGACTTGGTTAAACTAGAAAGCCTTTCCCATGAATATGAACCATTAGAATTGCTGGAAAAAAAATAGAACAAAAGGAAAACGTTGTTGTATAATCACAAATTACTTCCAAACAAGGATGGACTAAGAATTCCAACACAGCTACTGCTGAAAACTGAATTAGACAACTTGTTTGGAAAATCAGTTTAGGATACCCATGAATGTTACAAATGAAGTCTATACAGTATTTAAATATAAAGAAAAGCCATGCCTATTCAGTATTAAAGACTAGCATCACTGTTAACTGTGAGTACAAACGTACTGTGTTATTAGTGAATATCATGATAGCTGCCTTGACACATTGATCTCAGTGCTGTTGGCAGCTTCTCCTGTTTTATTTGTAGCAATAGTCAGTACATTGCTTATGTAACAAGACTTGATTTTTGGGATTTTAACATAGAAAACCAAAAGCACAGATTTCCAAGTACGGTATGTGGTACTGTGGTTTCACTGTAGTTACAGAAACCATATTTATGGCCAAAACTGGGTCCAGCGATATGTGCAGATAGTCATAAAAGCATGGTGAACTTGGTGTAGAAATAAATGTTAAATAAGTACAAAAAATGCTTTATGCCAAATGTCTGGCACTTATTCATTTTCCTATAATCCTAGAATTTCCCCTTGGGAATACCCATCTGTCTAAAGTATGTTCTCAGACATTTTCAATGTTTTATATTTAAAGACATCTCAAAAATAGCCACTGCTATGATTCAGGAGTTATTCTAAGGAAGCTTTTGTCTTATAACATCCAGTCGGTACCAAGAACTTGAGCACAGTCTCTTACACTGTTTTATGTCATCATGATGGTCTCTTCTTTCCTGTCACTCATGCCAGATTCTGATCAGATAGTGAATAGCAAAGATGAAGAAACAGGTTGGAAGAAATAAGAAAGCCAAGAAGGAAATGCAAGAAGTAAAAATCATGGGCTAGATGAAAGCAGAGAGGAGGCGATGTAGAAAATTGCACCATGATGAGAAATGGTAAGCACTCTGACAATTTCTGTTTCCCAGATGGGAGAGAAATTATTAACATCTGGTAAAATTTTTGGAAAGAATTTGCCTGCAAAAGCGTACTGAATGCTGCAACATGTTGTAATAGGTTCAAACACACTGAAATCAGGACATAAGCTAGCCTGCCAGTGATGTGTTTGCTGCTAAGGTTACATTGCTTCCAGGGAGAAAATAACACCATGGCTTAAGCCCAATTACCAGGAGTGATCTCTAATTGGTTTTGTTCCAGGGGCTTAGACAAAACTTCAGACACTAATGGAGCATGCATGTTTTTCACTCTTGACCAATGCCACTGGTAACAGACAAATGAAACTCATGCAAGGCATTTTATATTAGCTGTTTGTCATACAAATATAGTGTGCTGCTTTTAAGTCTTTCTGACTCTAAGAAGAACCACGGACAAAAGAGAATGAACTGTAACAAAAGTGGAGTCCGCTCTTATCACTGTCTGTTCAGAACACCCACACATTTAAAGAGTATTTCGTTTCTTTGCCACAGAGGCCTTTTTCATCCCCATTATCACTTTTCTCTCGCGCCAGCACGACCAAACCAAGTGCGCCTTCTAGCGGTGCTTTCAAGTTTGTTTGCGTGCATACGCGTAAATATTGAACAAAGGTTTAACTTACGGTAGAAGACGTATTCTGTGTAGCTGGACCAGATCTTATCCTCAGTGTGCTGGTTGACAAATGAGGCTGTGACTGATGAGTTGCAGGCCACCATTTGGAAACCACACTCCGACAGCATGTCAAAAGCCCTCTCCAGGTGTTTGAACTTGAGGTAAAACCTGGAAGTGTACCGATCCGGGGTCCTGTCCGGATCCCGGCTCTCGTTCAGAGTCTCCCCAAAAACTTCTTTAGCCAGGGCCACACGCCCGCATATCAGTATCCGAGGTACCCTCCGGAACTTGGCTACCTTGATGAACCCGCTCTTTCTATCCGCGGGGACGAGGGAGGGCGGCGGGCACTGTCGGTGGTCGCTACCCTGGGACCCATCTTCATAGTCGCTGTGAAAGTAATCGTCCGGGCTGTGCTTGATATCCTCAGGGGTCAGGAGCTTCACTAAGTCGGGAAGCTGGAAGTACTCCGCCTCTTTCTTGAGCCTCCCTTTCTCCGGGAAGTGGTCCGGGAGGACGACCTGCTTGTCTCGTAGGTAGTCCAACACATACCGGAATAAAAACCCGTCTCTGTCGATGAAATAACGGCCCTTGGGGTCTCTCGTCAAGTCATTAGATGCGTCTTTTTTGGAAGAGAATAGCTTGCCAAGTAAGGAATTCGGGGTGCTCACCAAAGTTGAATGACGTGTATAATAAACCTGTCCCCCTACATTTAATTCGACAACATCTGGGAAACTGTTCTGAACGGATGTCGGCTCTTTAGGGTTAGTCCTACAGTTTCCACTCAGCGCCATCGTTTCCGTCCTGAACAGCTACGGCCAGGCTATGCACACTTATTTCTACAACAAGTTTAAAAAGAATGAAATAAAGAAAAAACGGTGGTGTCAAAAGTTGCCTGCGCGGTGTCCTTTATCACTCTGCGTTGCAGGGCCTCACACTTCATCTCACAATCATCTGAATAAGCATTTTCATCGATCCATGATCACTATCACCTAGCAGTCTTTAGCAGTTGTCGGAAAAAGGGGAAGGATGTGCACTCCCTCTCTGAATGTTATAGGAAAAAAGGCTGAGATGGGTGACTTGAAGGCGGAAAGAATCAGTGCTGCGAGAGAGGAGAAATGTGTCCGGGCGCATCAAAGGCGTACATCAATGGCTGTAAGACTCCCATCGCTGCTGACAAAGGAGCATTACAGCCGGAACCGGTGGAGGCTGAAAGAAGCCTATTGCACTAAATAAAAAAGAAACTTGTCTTGCTTGCCCTTTTGCTTCTGGGAGTATTATCCAGCAAATACAAATCCGTCTGCACACACGCACAAAACCAGAAATGTGTGCAGTGAGACTGAGCGAACGAATCAAAGTCAACTTCTTTTAGGATATAGTCCAAGTTCTTTAAGGATGTAGTCCAAATACAACAAGGTGCTGATACGGTGTTGTCACCTTCTCTTCAACATCCTTTGGACACCAACAGATTTTCCAGGCTGTGCAGACCGACAGCAGGAGGCAGAACGCCTTTCAGTGGCGAGAAACTTGGCAGAGATTACACTGGCAAACCTCGGGAGTGCTGTAAAGGTTTACTCTGTAGCCCGTCACTTCAAATATCTCGTTGTTGGTTGAATTAAGCAGAAACTCATCCTCTGAAAATATATCTTCTTTTTTGGACTCGGGAGGTGTTTAAAAAAAATTCTCAGTTCCGATTTTTATTTTTGTTTTTTTTTCTTTTCAGTTTTTTTTCTGAGCAGGCGGGAGGAACGACCCGCTGCTT